TGAATCACAAAACCCAGTAAAAAAATTTGAGCATTCCTGAATTCCCCCAAGGATGGTAGGTAAATAGTACCTTTCTAGATGTTTAGGAGAAAAGAGAATTTGTTAAATAGAATATATGCCTTTATGTAATGAGGCTTAGTTTCCCTTAGGAACTAAACTAAAATATGCAAGGTTCCCCTGCAAAGCAACAAAGAAAGAGATAAGAAATTCAGTAGAAAATTTGGTAAAGAATATGAATAAGCAATTCACAAAAGGGGAAATCAAAAGTTAGTGAGTATATGAAAAGATGCTCAAGCTCATTAGTAATCAGAGGCATGCAAATTAAAATGAGATCACTCTACACCCAAAATTGACAAAATTAGGAAGGTGGTGGATGATGCCATGTGTTGCTGAGAATATGCAGAAATGGGATCTCTTCTGCACTGCAGATCAGGAGTATAAAGTACTATAGCCATTCAGGAGTGAGATCTGATATTTACTGAAGGTCAGCTGCATGCGTCCTGTGATCTAGCAATGCTACTCCCAGCTATAATCATGAGAAAATCTGGCATCAGACCGTAAGAGGACAAATACAAGGATGCTCACGGTGGCACTCTCTGTGGGAGCACAAAGTGGGAGACAATCCAGGACTCCAATCTCCGAGGAATGGACAAATAAAATATGGAGAATGAACACCATAGATCCTTGTGCGGCTGCTAAAAGCAAAGACTAGATGTACATATAATAACATGAACAGATATTGAAAAAAGGGAATAAAAAAGCTATGAAACAGAACACAAGCCATTGCTCAATGCCAGGAGGTGGTGTGGTGGTTACAACACTGGACTCCCACATGGCTGACCCCAGTTTGAGTCCTGGATCAGGTGGCTTGCTTTCTTACTTTCTCTCTCTCTCTCTCTCTCTCTCTCTGGTGAGCACATGTGTCCTATAGCAAAAGTAAAAATAATGATAATAATAGTAAGATAAATAATTCTAAAAAATAAATAAATAAAAACTTAAAAAGCATACCCATATACAAGATAATGCTTTAGCTTTTCAAGGATAAAAACATAATTTAAGCACATATATCAAAACATTAGGATTGGATGCATGCCCCTGGGGAAGCGGGCAGGGATTAGGAATGAAGAGGAAGAGATACAAAGAAAAATGATCAGCGTAGACCAGGGATGATAACTCCCACACCCTGAGGAGCATGCTGAGCTTGTGGGGTAGGTTAGAAATGCTGTCAAGGAAAGCTTGAAAGGAGGCAGTTGGGGCCCAGAAGAGAACTACTAAACTTGGGAGTCAGAAATCCTGGGGTTGAATCTGAGCCCTGCTGTTTACTAGCTCTGACCTCTGGCTCTGACCTTGAATACATCATTTTGCTTCCCTCCTATTTCTTTTGATGTCAAACGAGGTACAAAATGGATACACAGCAGATAGCTGAATTGCTCCTGCCACAAGAAGTATGCAATAATATTAGCTAAATTTAAACTTTTTTTTTTTTTTTTTGGAGAGGTTTTTGCTACAGGGTGTGTGTGCTCGCTAGAAAGACAGAGAGAGACAGAGAGAAAGAAAGTGAGAAATCACCCCCCAGGAGGGACGGCCATGCCGCAATCCCTTCTCCTCCATTCTCCTCTCAGGATCTTGGGCATGCACGCACACACGCCTGGTGTGAATTTAAGCCACTGGGTCCAGGACTCAAACCACAGTCAACTACATGGGAACCCAGAGACATAACCATTACACCAACTGCTGGTCTCACTAAATTTAAAACTACAGAGCAGGAATAAAAAAGTTTGATTTTTTTTTTTTTTTTGAGAGGTTTTTGCTATAGGGCTTGTGCGCTCGCCAGACAGACAGAGAGAGACAGAGAGACAGAAAGCAGGAAATCACCCCCCAGGGGAGATGGCCACGCCGCAATCCCTTCTCCTCCACTCTCCTCTCGGGATCTTGGGCACGCACGCACACGCGCCCGGCGTGACTTTAAGCCACCAGGTCCGGGACTTGAACCACGGTCGACTCCGTGGGAGTCCAGCGACATAGCCATTACGCTAACTGCTGGTCCCACTAGTTCAGTATTTTTAAAACTGTGAGTGGTAACTCTTTAATGGGTCATGAAATAAGTTTAATGAGCCTCTAGAAACTAAGAGAGAAATCAAGAAAAAGGAAGGACAGGGTCAGTCAGTGGCATGGTAGTTAAGGTGGCTGGATCCCATATGGCTAACTGTGCATTTCAAGTCCAGGACCCAGAGACTTGAGTAACACACTGGGGGTTGTGTGCCCAAAATGTCAAGAGTAGAAAGGAGAAGGGATTGTGATATGGTCATCTCTTCTGGGAGTACTTTCTTAATTTCCCTTCTTCTCCATATCTCTCTAGTCAACTCATGCACTCTAAACAAATTAAATGTGTGTGTGCGTCTGTATACATACATATACATATATATGGGGGTAGGCAGGGAGGATGGATGAAAAACATATTAAATATGCTCTTTGCACTTTTAGTGCATTTCACTAAAAGTATCATTTTATAACAATTTCATTTCAGTTAGATATACATGGGCATAAAATGAATTTTGGGGGCCAGCACTGTGCAGAGGGAACAGATCCCACACAGCCAATCATGGTTCAAGTTCTGGACCCAATGACTTAGGAATATGCCTGGCATGTGTGTGCCCGTGTCCCAAATCCTGACAGGATAGAAAAATGCAGGATAGGGAACCAGCAGTTAGTGTAATGGCTATGTCGCTGGACTCCCACGTAGTCGACCGCGGTTCGCGTCCTGGACCCGGTGGCTTAAAACTCACGCTGGGCGCGTGTGCATGCGTGCCCAAGATCCCAAGAGGAGAATGGAGGAGAAGGGATTGCGGCGTGACCATCCCCCCTGGGGGGTGTTTTCTCGCTGTCTCTAATGTCTCTCTCTTTCTGTCTGGCGAGCACACGCGCCCTATAGCGAAAATCTCTCCAAAAAAAAAAAAGAAAAATGCAGGATAGGTGATTGTGGTGTGATCACACCTACTGTGGATGCTAACCAGTGGTGGTTAAGGCAGTTGGTTCTCACATGGCCACCTGTGGGGTTTGAGTCCTAGACTCAGTGTCTTGAAAAACACACTAAGTGTGAGTGCATACCCAAAATCTAGAAAGGCAAAATGAAGAAGGGGTTGCAGAGTGACCATGCCCCATGGAGGGTATTTCTTCACTTTCCCTCTCTTTGTCTGTCTCTCTGGTGAGCACATGTGGCTTCTAGCAAAGTAAAAAAACAAAAAATTTGCATTTCCCCAAGAGTCAGTCAGAAAGTGGAAAACATGGATATTGCTCAAACGTTTTCCTTACCTCTATTTCAAGAATCAATAGTGGAACCAATGGATGGCATAATGGTTGTCACTGGATGCCCACATAGTCAACTGTGACTCGAGTCTCGGACCCAGCAGTTTGCAACTCTTGCTGGGAACATGTGCATGCATGCCCAAAATCCCAAGAGGAGAACGGAGGAGAAGGGATCATGGTGTGGCCATTCCCCCTGGGAGGTGATTTCTCAGCTTTCTGTCTCTCTGTCTCTCCTGTGAATACACGTGCCCTATAGCAAAAATCTCTAAAAGAAGAAAAAAGAAAAAAAAAAGGAACCAAAAAAGAACCAATAGTAGTCCCTGAGATAACAGAAAGTTGTTTGGAGTCGCCACTTTTTTTTTTAAACCTTGTTTTTATTTATTTATTCATTCATTTTAATTTGACCAGAGAGAGACATAGAGAGAGAGAAAGAGAGAAAGAAAGTGAGAAAGCAAGCCACCAGATTTGGAACTTGAACCATGGTCGGCCAAGTGGGAGTGTTCAGCACCCTTAACCACCACACCACCTGCTGATCCTGGAGTTGCCACTTTTTAATCTGTAGAGGGCATTAAAAAAGAAACTCTGGGGACCAGTAGTTAGCATAATGGCTATGTCGCTGGACTCCCACGTAGTCGACCACAGTTCAAGTCCCGGACCTGGTGGCTTAAAACTCATGCCTGGCGCGTGTGCGTGCGTGCCCAAGATCCCGAGAAGAGAACGGAGGAGAAGGGATTGTGGTGTGGCCATCCCCCCCTGGTGGGTGATTTCTCGCTTTCTGTCTCTCTGTCTCTCTCTGTCTGTCTGGTGAACGTACACGCCCTATAGCAAAAACCTCTCAAAAAAAAAAAAAAGATAAAAAAGAAACTCTGATAATCTCCTATTACTATTGTATCATAAAAGAAAAGGCATCTTTAACATTGTAAAAATAGAGAATAAAAGGCTTTATATAAAACTCACTACACTGTACTCATTGTTCTTGGTACCCTATCTTTCTGGACAGGAGGACGGAATTCCAGAGGTAAGAACTGACTCACTCAAGGTCACTCAGTCAGCTGTCGCAGAGGTGACACAGAACCCCTCAGTCTTGGCTGTGTTTTCCAAGCTCTGGTCCTCAGACTCTAAGAGAGCCACAGAAATGGACCCTTGTAGATAGGGCTCTGAAATCCCTAACCCTGTTTTACTGGAAGTGGCTCTGCATCTATGAGATTTAAATTGAGGAAAAGATTTCACTGTTAGGGGAAATAAAAATTAGAAACCCTGGGGTGGTGATGGGGAATCCTACCTCCAGGGCAGGATATGTTCATGGAGGTTATTATATTTTTTTCCAGTGGCCCTAGGGACCTATTTAGGATTTCTGAGCAAGGGAGAGAATAAATTGGGGTTGTGCTTAAGGATGACTGGGGGGGTGTACAGTAAGGGAGGGGTAGAGTAACAGCTGGGTTGGCTGGGTTGGCTGGATAGGAACAAGCAGCAGCAGAAATCAGTTATTTAACCACTGCAATACTCCAGGCCTGAGGCAGTGAGGAGGCACTTGCCTGAGGTAGCAGGGATGCAGAGAACAGTACTCCCAAATTCTCTGGGGTTTTGGCCAATCAGAGCCAGCCTCTCTAGACCATACTCCAAATCTCCTTTTTCATGAGCAGCTCTTCCAGTAACATGGGCATAGGGCCCTGGGAAGGGGAAAGGACCCTCACCTGCAGTGCCAGCTGGCAGTCCTCAATCAGGCCCTGCACCAGGTAGTAGCGTGCTTCGCCTAGGAGCTCCCCCAGCTCTCTGGTACTCTCAGGCAGTGGCACGGACCCGTCCCGCAGGTAGTTGAGGATTGTGCCAAAGTGGCGGCCGCTCCGGTCGATCAGCACCCAACCTTGAAGGGATGGGGAGAGGGGAGAGGAAGGATGGCTTTGCTGGGAGCACTGAAGCGACTTTTTTTTTTTTTTTTTTTTTAAAGAAAAAAGGATTCCAAAGCTACAAGAACGTCTAAATACTGATCTGTCTCAAAACTCTGCCACATCCAAGAACATTCCTTTAAAATACCTCCAGTGACTTCTCCCATAGGCATTTACAGACACCCAGTCAGAGATTTAATACCCTTCCAAATCTGTTCTACAGTCAGAAGGCTCCTACCGTGAGACGGTCTTACTTTTTTTTTTTTTTTGGAGAGGTTTTTTCGCTATAGGGCGCGTGCGCTCGCCAGACAGACAGAGAGAGACATAGAGACAGAAAGCGAGAAATCACCCCCCAGGGGGGATGGTCACGCCGCAATCCCTTCTCCTCCATTCTCCTCTCGGGATCTTGGGCACGTACGCACACGCGCCCGGCGTGAGTTTTAAGCCACCGGGTCCGGGACACGAACCGCGGTCGACTACGTGGGAGTCCAGCGACATAGCCATTACGCTAACTGCTGGTTCCCTAGACGGTCTTACGTTTTCAATAAACTTCTAATATCTGGTGTTAATTCTGGCCATTCTATTTAAGATGTTTGTCCCTACCCTCCAGTTCACTGCCATTTTAATCTTTATACTCTTTCTAGAACTTATCTGCAATCACACATAGACATTTGTTCACTTGCTTGCTGGTCGACCCCTAACTTCTCCCACCCCTCCCCCCAAAAAAGAAATTCCATAAAGCTAATCTTGTTAGAGATTACCAAAGTTTCTCCAGCACTTACTAGTACTTCACAAAACTTATTGAACAAATACACTCTACTTGCCATATTTGAAGGCTGAGTTCTACCTCCCAGATTTTTATTTTCCTGCTCCCATCTTTGTTAACCTGCTCTGAATCCTCTCCCAACTCCCCCCCCCACCCCCAAACTTTAAGATTCCACTTGGGTATGGGGAGGGGCAAGCTTGAATGCAATATTCCAAGATGCAAGGTTCACCTGGCCAAGGAGAATTGTCCACCCTCCACTGTGGTGCCCCTGGCAAACCCAAAGCGGCCCTCTCCTACAGTCTGCCTTTACAGATGGATTCCTAGAGTGCACAGGAACCTGCGTTGGGAGAACACAGAGAGACAAGATCTCCCAGCTCTCCTGCTGGGCTGTTAGTGGGTCTGAGACAGAGAGGGGAGCAAAAGGTTGGGCAGCTGGAAGAAACTGATGCAGGTGCCTGAAGGGGTGCTGCTGGGAGCAGGGCTGGTTCTCAAGTCTTCTGAGCCAAGGAGTGAAGGGTGGAAGAACTGGTGATGAGGATTATGAAGTGACATGCTGAATTACTTACCACGGAGCCTGGCAGAGTGAGGGGGTACCGTTAACGTGGGGTACTGCTGGGGGTAAGGGACGGAGCGTGGGTGTAGACCATGAATGAGAAAAGAGATGAGATGGGATGTGGAGGCAGGACTGAAGTGACAATGAGTTCACAGGATGGTGGCAAGTAGAGGCAAGAGGAGGATGCAGGGTAGCACTAGTATGGGCTGAAGCCGCAGCGTACCTCCGGCGTCCGTGAGCACCTCCACGCGGCCGCTGAACATGGCCTTGAGCATGGTGTCCTGTCCCGTGAGGGTGCGCAGCGTAGTGTAGTGCAGCGAGCCCCCCACGTTCAGCTTTACGTACTTGCTGTTCGGGGTCAGCGGCTTGAGACCGTAGGCGGCGGAGCCAGGCTCGAGACCTGAGGGCTTAGGGTCTTCTAGCGATGGGGCCGCGGCCGCCGCGGGGCCCGAGGCTTCGGCCGACATAGTAGGTGGCGGGGACTGGCGGAGATCCTAGGCTGTCGCCGCGCCCTGCAGTCTGCTCTCAAAGACCCTGGGACCCCGGCCCTTGGGTCAGACCGCTCAACGAACACGCCCACTAGCAGCCGCTACTCGGCAACTCCGGCCCTCCGCCCCATCGCGCTAGCATTACCCGGAAGCCGGAGCCAGGCAGCTACGCAGGCGCATATAGGCCCCGCCCCTGACCCCCTGCTGGGCGGACTAGAGTTCGGAGCATGCGCAGTGGTCTTGGGAACCGTAGTCTTTCTCAACCGGCTCGGGTTTGGGGCGAGGGCCGACGAGCTACCCTCCTGAGTCCTGGGGACCAAACGGAGACCGGTGCCCTGTCCGATGTGGAAAGTGAAGTTTCCTGCCTGTGGGTCTTTTGTCTCAGAGCGCTTCGCGGGCGGGAAAAGAAAATTGAAACTCATTGAGGGCAGAATATTGAGCAAGATTTTGCGCCTCCCAGCCCAGTGTATCTGACCCTACCGACTGGAAGAGAACTGCGAACAATGCGCCAAGGGAGGCTCTTAAGGGAGGTCCTAGCGGGATGGTCCCCAGAGGAGGTGGCGCTGTGCTAGGCCGCCCAGGATAACAGGCCTGTCTGGGGCGGTTGATGCTGCGCTGAAGCTGAGAAGCGGCCACATGGATATTTGGGAAAGAGGTTCAGGCAGCCGAGAGGGCGAATGCGAAGACCCTTGGCAGGAACGCGCACAGTGTTTGGGGAGCAGAAAGTATGCCGGAGAAGAATTAAAAAAATAAAAATAAAAAAAAGGGAAGAGAGAAAGAAAAAAACAATAACAAAAATTGCAAAACTCGACCGAAAAGAGTGCCGGGGATTGTTGGAACAGCTAAGTGGAGATTTTGGAATCCTAGGCCAGCTCGGTGCTCTTCCTTTCCTATCTGCCATCTGTGGTGGGACCGCCACCAAAATTCTGTTTTTACGCAGATTTCCGTACAGGGAAGACGATCACCTTCGAGGCTGAACCGTCAAATACAATAGAAAATGTAAAACTCAAAATCCACGATAAGGAAGGAATTCCTCCTGATCAGCAAAGACTGATTTTCGCTGGCAAGCAGTTGGAAGATGGTCGTACTTTGACTACAACATCCGAAAGGAGCCCATGCTTCATCTTGTGTTGAGACTTCGTGATGGTGCTAAGAAAAAAGAAGTCTCATACCACTTCCAAAAAGAATAAGCATAAGAGAAAGAAGGTTAAGCTGGCTGTCCTGAAATACTATATAAGGTGGATGAAAATGGCAAAATTAGTCACCTTTGTCAGGAGTGCCCTTCAGATGAATACGGTGCTGGAGTTTTTATGGCCAGCCATTTTGACAGACATTACTGTGGCAAATGTTGTCTGACTTACTGTTTCAACAAAGACCAAGACAAGTAATTGTTTATGAGTTAGTAAAATAAATGAACAAAACAAAACAAAAAAGAATCCTAGAAAATGTCACCGGACTTAGCACCTGACCCTGAAACACAGAAGAAATAAAAAAAAAACCCATTGTTGACAAGAAAGTGTGACAAGGGGTCAGGTGGTGGCACAACTAGACTTACATGGAAAAGGTCCTGGGTTTGCATCTTGGCACCTCCCTGAGCATGCTAGGTGCACGCAGCTGAGACTCAGTGTGTCGGCATGAAAACCCTTTCCAGGGTGCCTCGCTCCCTCTCTGGAAGACATAAATGAAAAAGTTTTTTTCTTCTTCAGTTTTGATTGTTTGACAGCAGGTAAAGGTTGAGGAGGGTCCTCCAGGCATGGGAGACCCAGCCAGATAGCCACGCTGACTCTGCAGCTCTGCGTTCACTTTGTCCAGGGCTCCTTCTCAATGGGCTTCCCGCTGTCCTCTCAGAGCTTGAGGCCAATGGCTCTCTCGACTTTGACTGGCTGTTTGGAATGGCTTGTCCACTCTCTTAGTCCACAATGACTTGAGGCTTTTCATTGGTTTTCGTCACCAGGTCTTTCTGTGTCGGCGCCTTGCTCTGCTGGCCCTGCTGGATCACCTTGCCCACCTCCAGGGGCCCTCTGTCATGGTGCAGCTCCTCAGTCTCCTGGTCCCACTTGGCAGTGCTTTTGGTGATGGTGTGCTGTTTGTTTTTCCCTGCGGCCCATTTTTTGGCAGTCTCCACGTCTTCTCCCGCTTGCTGAGCCACTAAGATGGCCTGCTTGCTTGGACATGCCCCGTGTGGCTGTGGGCCCCTTGCACAGCTACCATCGTCGTGTCCCAGTCATCTCAGCCATGGTGGGGCAACTGCTTAAGACCCCTGTGGAGACACAGCATCATGATTTCCGTACAGGGAAGACGATCACCTTCGAGGCTGAACCGTCAAATACAATAGAAAATGTAAAACTCAAAATCCACGATAAGGAAGGAATTCCTCCTGATCAGCAAAGACTGATTTTCGCTGGCAAGCAGTTGGAAGATGGTCGTACTTTGACTACAACATCCGAAAGGAGCCCATGCTTCATCTTGTGTTGAGACTTCGTGATGGTGCTAAGAAAAAAGAAGTCTCATACCACTTCCAAAAAGAATAAGCATAAGAGAAAGAAGGTTAAGCTGGCTGTCCTGAAATACTATATAAGGTGGATGAAAATGGCAAAATTAGTCACCTTTGTCAGGAGTGCCCTTCAGATGAATACGGTGCTGGAGTTTTTATGGCCAGCCATTTTGACAGACATTACTGTGGCAAATGTTGTCTGACTTACTGTTTCAACAAAGACCAAGACAAGTAATTGTTTATGAGTTAGTAAAATAAATGAACAAAACAAAACAAAAAAGAATCCTAGAAAATGTCACCGGACTTAGCACCTGACCCTGAAACACAGAAGAAATAAAAAAAAAACCCATTGTTGACAAGAAAGTGTGACAAGGGGTCAGGTGGTGGCACAACTAGACTTACATGGAAAAGGTCCTGGGTTTGCATCTTGGCACCTCCCTGAGCATGCTAGGTGCACGCAGCTGAGACTCAGTGTGTCGGCATGAAAACCCTTTCCAGGGTGCCTCGCTCCCTCTCTGGAAGACATAAATGAAAAAGTTTTTTTCTTCTTCAGTTTTGATTGTTTGACAGCAGGTAAAGGTTGAGGAGGGTCCTCCAGGCATGGGAGACCCAGCCAGATAGCCACGCTGACTCTGCAGCTCTGCGTTCACTTTGTCCAGGGCTCCTTCTCAATGGGCTTCCCGCTGTCCTCTCAGAGCTTGAGGCCAATGGCTCTCTCGACTTTGACTGGCTGTTTGGAATGGCTTGTCCACTCTCTTAGTCCACAATGACTTGAGGCTTTTCATTGGTTTTCGTCACCAGGTCTTTCTGTGTCGGCGCCTTGCTCTGCTGGCCCTGCTGGATCACCTTGCCCACCTCCAGGGGCCCTCTGTCATGGTGCAGCTCCTCAGTCTCCTGGTCCCACTTGGCAGTGCTTTTGGTGATGGTGTGCTGTTTGTTTTTCCCTGCGGCCCATTTTTTGGCAGTCTCCACGTCTTCTCCCGCTTGCTGAGCCACTAAGATGGCCTGCTTGCTTGGACATGCCCCGTGTGGCTGTGGGCCCCTTGCACAGCTACCATCGTCGTGTCCCAGTCATCTCAGCCATGGTGGGGCAACTGCTTAAGACCCCTGTGGAGACACAGCATCATTTTTTTTTTTTTTTAAGTTAAAGGGGGGAAAAAAGTGGTGCTAAGTTTTCAATCTAACCTGCTCTGCTTCCTGTTAGAGGCTGATACCAGAGATTTAACAATTGTCCTTGATATCCAGCAAGCAAGGAGGTTTGCTGGGAGGAAAACCAGAGTTCTAGTTTCTAGGCTATCACCAGTTCACTGGGAGGTCCTCGGCAAGTCCCTTCTCTCTGGGCTTGGTTAGTCCCTTTTCTGCTTAGCGAGGATGCATATTGAAATGTCTGCAGGAGTCAGCCAAGTAGGAGTGGAAATGATGAAGTGGGCCAGTTAAAAGGTAGAGATGGTCTGTGGTGACCTGGAGAGCTCATGTTCTAGCAAAAGGGTTCACCAATTCTGATTTCTCAAGTGTAGCAGTGAAAAAGAGAAAAGCAGCTGGGAATTAGTTTGCATTCTCCCTCCAGAAGCCTTGGTGTTGTGAGTTGGCCTGACACCAACAGTGAGGTGCTGTCCTGCTGAGCATAAACTATATCACAAAAAAGACCATCAGACAAGGTCACTCTCTGACTGATGGATGGAGGTAAAAAAAAAACAAACATTCAGTAGGCATACCTGATTACAAAAAACAAAAACATTGTACAAACCACAAACATGACCAAATCCAACCCTCTCTCCCACAGTATAAGTGACTACAATCTTTTTTTTTTTAAGCTTTAGATCCATTCTTCCCTAATAAGAATTATTAAGATAACCAAAAAAGGGGCCAGCAGATGGTGTAGTGGTTACATCACTGGACTCCCAAATAGCTGACTGTGTGGTTCAAGTCCTGGACTCAGTGGCTTGAAACTCATACCAGGTGTGTGTGTGTGTGTGTGTGTGTGTGCGCGCGCGCGTGCCCACGATGCCGGAGGAGAATGGAGGAAAAGGGATTGTGGTGTGGCCATCCTCTCTGGAGAGTGATTTCTCACTTTCCCTCCCTCTCTCTCTCTGTCTCTCCCTCTCCCCAGTGATCACACATGCCCTAAGGCAAAAACCTCTAAAAAAACAAAAAAACAAAAAGAATTATCCCTACTTCCTAACAGCATCTATACTAGAGCAAATTCATCCTCCCTTGTAAAAAGTTTTTGTGTTCATTTCTTCTATGAATGACAGAGACAGAAAGACAGACTCTCCCTCTTGATACCATGATTTGTCCAGCTTCAGCTTCTACCAGCCCTGGATCATAGGCACATGCATATACCCAGTATATCCAGGGAGGAAAACATGAACCCAGAATCTTCCCAAGTGGGTCCACCTAACAGAGTGTCTTTCCTTTTCTTTTCTTTTTTTATTTTTACTTCAGATTTTTGCCATAGGGCATGTGTGCTCACCAGAGAGAGACAGAGAAGGAAAGTGGGAAATTATCCCCCAAGAAGAAATAGCCACACCCTGCACTGCAATCACTTCTCCATTCTCCTCTCAGAATTTTGTGCATGCACACACATAGACTGTGCATTATTTTTCAGATCCCTGGGCCTGGGTCTCAAACCTCATAGTCAGCCAATGTGCGAACCAGTTGTCTTGACCACACCACCGAC